CACACACACACACACACACACACACACACACACACACACACACACACACACTTAAGCACTGAAATGAACTCCCCCTTTTCTTCTGAATCCACAGAACCAGCCACAGAAAAAGGCTCTGCAGTGCATTCTATGATCTATCTGCACATCCAGACACTCTTTCTCTCTTACGAGCACAAACAGATTCGGTCCTTTACTTCATTTTTATGTTTTTTTTAAGCTCCCTCAGACACAAGCACTGACTGTTAAAGAAGACGGGACAAAAAAAGGAAAAGAGCAGAAGCAGCATTGACATTTAGTCAGTAATAACTTGCGTGAACAAAACCCCCAAAAGTTTCAAACTCAGCTTGGCCACACAGAAGACTTTATCTCATGAGCTGCCATCTTTTGTGCCCTTCCTGTATTAACTCTGCCCTCTTCAGCCGTCTTTTTGTTTCCTCACCTTTTTGTTCCATCCCTATTTTGTCATTGTTCTCTGAAACATGTTTTTTTAAACTTCTCGTTTCTTTTTTTTTTTTGTCGCAGTGCCGGTTATCWGAGGATTCTGCGCTCCCGTTCTCATCTCTTCCATCGTCTGGAGGTGTGTCTGCTGCTGATAAACCGGCAAAAAAGGATTGCGACGCTCAAAACCCATCGTGGGCCCGACAGCCCACCCACTTTATTATTTTTGTCCGTGCAGCCACTCGTCATCCCGGCCCCTCGTCCCTCTCCTTGGGCACCGGGAGAGCAGTGAATCTGCCCTGTCATTCCACCACAGTCTCCTTTACGAGTCGAACTCGTAACAAATATCTGAACATGTCCAATAAACCGACAAACTTCAGAACTCATAAACTTGTCTCCTCATTTGCATAAATCCAAGATGAATCTGTCTCTCCTCGCTATAATAAACCTGTTGAAAYTCCCCCCTTTTTTCCCCCCACAAAGACCTGCGTGGCTGTTCGTGGCTCTGAGAGCTTATGGGAGCTTTTCAAAGCACAAATCAACAGATTTCCAAAGACTATGCAATAAAAGAGGGGGGGCAGCATTGTGTTTGGTTTGTCCTCCCTCCAAAAGCAACACCGCAACCACAATAAATCCAGATCTGAGTACAGTAGCTCCAACAAAGCAGCTTTGTCATCACAGCTCCTGAGATCTTCAGAGAAGCTCTGCAGGCCCAAGCTACATCTGCACTGGTAGTAAAACAAAAAAAAGTTAGTCCTTACCACGTGCACAAATATATCACAGCACAGGTGCATCAAAGCCTCACAAACACGTCATTCCTATGAGTCGGCCTTCAGTCCTGCTCTTTTTATCCCCTCTTTTCTCTTTCCTACCTATTTTACTTCTTTCCTTGCTTCCTTCCCTGCAATCACCAACCCCCTCCTCTCCTGTTTCTTTATCCTGAACGCCTGGCATATTCAGATACTGAAGTCCTCATTACGGCTCAATCCAACCTCAGCAAACACACAAACAGATTAGCCGCTTAAGACGCTCCCAATCCCCCTCTCCCTCGCTACTCTGCTGCGCTATCAGGCCCCAGCACAACCCTGTGAGATGAGCCAGGGGCAAGGCTTACCGCAGACTGCAGCCTCCGCTCGCTCCTCCGCAAAATCCCTCTGCGTCACAGCCCCGTGTCACAGCTGCCCCTAATACAATTAAAAGTCATTTGCAGAACGTGCAGGCTTAGGGGATCATGGTGGGTGTGTGTGTGTGTG